CGGAAACGCAACGCTAAAAAAAGGCTGAAAAATTGTCACGTACTGAATAAAGTGCAGAAACCGTAACAACAAGCTTTGTTGTAAAATATCGCAATTCGATTTACAAAAATGTTTTCGAACATGTCTAAAATTTTATGCGCAATAAAAAAGCGAGCGTGTTTCTGTGACTTACAGCGCCATTTTGTTGGAGGCAAGATTAAACTTTTACATGTTTGATTAGTTTTTTTTCTTCTTTGTAGGAGAATAGATTGCCCTCAAAGTTTGTGTATGCTGGGCGCTCAACTTTTTTAACTTCAGACTTTATTAATTGACACGTGTACAAGTGCTCGGTGTGATAAAAAACGAACTTCCTTTTAATAGTCCCTTGGAGGGTAGTACATAAATTTCCGTTTTATCGAATCCCAGATGTAACATTCTGCAGCAAGGCAATCAATTTTGCGAACGGGAAAAAAACTTTCCTGGCAGCGTCATAAGATTGTGTGTTTTTCTTTATCACTAGACTCTGTACAGGCACCCAAACTAGTTTAACACCAATTCAATTAATTTATATGATTTTAATCTCAAATCTGTGCAATAAATTTGTTCTTTTTGTATTTTTGATTGTAAGCAAGTGTTGAAAAAAACAAAAAGTGTGATAAACAATAATTACAAGACTTATTTTAATAATAAAACACTCCAAACGCCCTCTAGACGTCTGCAAATTAAAACAGAGAAGTGCTTGGGGCTGCGGAGGAGTACGATGTAAATTTAACAAGTTTAGTCACGTCATTTGTGTTCTATCTTTTTCGTCTCATTGTTGTGCTCCTCCTGTCTACATGTGGTCGAGTCGTTTTGTTGTCGGTTGGCAGGAATCTTCATCATTAAACACATTTCGGAATCTCACAAGAATAGAGGATTAAAACCGCCTGTGGTCATGAGCCACGATGGCGAATCCGTTTCGTTCTTCTGCTATTCTCTATTCCTCACGCAGCAGCCCGACGTTGCGCATCTCAACGCGCACGAAATTATTATGCGTAGAGCGAATGTGCCCGATATCTCTCCGAGTTTTATTTACATACATAAATGAGATGCAAAGCAGTCTTTTATCAGAAGCCAAATGGCTTAGACGACCCAAAATATTTGGCCTATTTCCAAATTAATTCATTGATGGTGTCAAATTTACTATTTTACTGAAATGAATACTTAACCCAACATCTAGCGCGCAGCGCTCGTGATAATTATCTAATTACGAACTAAAACTGCATCCGCTCATAATTTGATATCAGTTTCGGAACAAGCCAACTACTAATTATTAACTTCGTGCATCACCAGGTCGCAGTGCGGCTCGCCGCCATTGTTTCATAGCACGAAAACGCGCTGCGAACAGCTCTCGCTTAATACAAAACATGCTATGTTGTTCCGTTGGATTCCTATTTGTGTTAATAGACTTCATAACCGAGAGTGCGGTTGAATGGGAATGATCGCGGAACGATACAGTCGTTTCGTATCAGATACGTCTCGGACCACACCAACCACGCCCGCCACCCACACGCCCTCCGGTGCGCCGGATGTGCGCGACCTGTCTGTCAATATCGACAAATATCGTGTAATTACCAACATACCAATTAACTACCGTATCGACGCTAACCATCAAAACCATTGTTAATTGCTTACCGACTAAGGCTCACGACACCATAACAGTCAAGGACAGATATGAGAAATTTGATGAATTTACGTTAAATTGATTAATAAACTTACATTAGTAAAATACAGACAAGTAGACAACGTGAGCATGATGGATTGAACAATATGTTAATCAATTTAATCATTAACGTATCATCAGATACTATTAATATATTTATCATGAACGTTACTGAATCCTTTGAGGTTCATACTATAGCTCTGTCAATTTGTAGCCATTTTGATGTTAACGTTCTTTTCATGCTTTGAAAAGAAAGAAGGAAAAAGAAAATGTATTAAAAGCATGTGGGTTATAAAGTTTTGTAAAACCACAAAACCACAAGGATTTTTTTCTCTGGTTTGTGTCGCATTGTAACCAACTTTGAAGAAAAAGAGGAACTTAACACTATTGTTAGGATAGAGTTGAAAATGTATTTCAAAAAGCAAACAGTTCTAAGTATCGAATTAGTATTAGAGGTTAATTAACTGTTTTGCAAACTGGCGTTGTTCAATTGGCACTACTAGTACAATTTGATTAGTGTTTGAAATACACTTTCGGGCAAACAAAATTAAATGTTTGGTAATTGTCAATGTTTGACGACTTCGTGAAATGTTTGCGTTATCGTAGAGAATGGAAAATATTCACGCATTTAATCCTCCCCCTCCTACTTTATCCTTATAATCGCTACTCAGCTTAGGCAATTAGCCTGCTTAATTATCCAGACTTTGCTTTAAACTATGAGCATATACACATTCCCTTTGGGTGGTTGCTAACCGATCCCAAAGGTGAAGAGGTTTTCTGTCACGACAGTCAACGGTATTGGTGTGCTTGTCGGAGCGTTCAATTCATTGCAATTGAATTTAATTTTATTAAATTTAACCGAAAAATATAGAAAGATTGACCGATATGTGTGTTTGAATAATTGAATAGAATCACTTATAGTACATAATATATGAAATTTCTAGTATTAAATTTAATAATTAATGTATTTCATTTTTCTATTCATGTTTAGATATGATTTATGTGCACTATTTCTTGTATGATCAAGAATTAGCATAACATGCTTACGCTATTACTCCTCCAGGGCAGACATAAAACGTTGGACGTAGGATGCAATTTATGAAATGCACCGCACACCAAAATGCGCCCAACACAATATTCATATCATCCTCAGCTTACAACCAAGCCAACGCAAATACACAACCTTGTTGGTAATACACTAATGCTCTAGAAAGCTGCTTTTTCGACACTCGTATTAAATTTGAAGATATTTCTCTGGATAAGAGCCACCCTTATAAATGAGTATGACAACTTCCACTTGCTTATATCGTTGATGAATAATAACTTATCCACCGCAAAACGCTTTGCCATTGTAATACTGTTGTTAAAACTGCAGGACAAAAGCTCAACCTGTTTAATATTCCAACCAGGGATAATATTGAATAAGTTTACATATTAAACAAATTAAGCGCACGTAAAGTTATCATTCGCGAACAACGTCGTTGGGTTTCTGACTTTGTGGCAAGCAGACGACGATGCTGTCGTCATCACGAGTTTTACCCAGGCCAACATGAACAACTCGTGAGCTGGAAAAGTTCGCAATGAACTAGAATCCACAAACATACCTTTATACTCTCGCGAAATATACAATACGCTTAATGCACCGCGACAAGTTTAAAGTTTCACGCTTTATTTGAGTAATGGCTGGAGCGTGACGACAAAAAAAAAAGAAACGGCGTGAATGTTGCATTCTGAGCACTTCTCTTGGGATCGTGGTAGCAGTGGAATATATATACATTGGGCTCTGAATTGTTCCATAATTGTGTGAGGTGTAAGTTAGTAAAGTAATTGTCTTGTTTTTAACAAACTTTACTCTACTGTTGAAAACTCAGAAAAGTTTATAATCTTACTTTAATATAAAAATTTAGTTATACAAACTGCTAAATAAAATATTTACCGGGAGAAATAGGGTTGACAAACTGTAAAAATAATGAATTTGTTTGTTCCGCTTCCAAGATTAATTAAACTCAACTGACTAAACTAGCATTCAATGGCAATGATAGCGCTGTTATCAAAATGAATTGCTATTTGCCCGTCCATTGTGATTTATGAATTAGATTTTTTCAATTTAAATACTTTTAAATTAATATTTATCGAAAATTGTCAGATTAGTACGATAAAACCATTAAACATGGTACATAAGGAAACATATCTGTGTTTTCATAGGTTAATAGATTTAGATTTAAAAAACAGGTATAATTTGATTCTACCTATATATGTTTTTAGTTAAACAAAAATCGGTTTTGGTATACTCGTAATTATACAATATTTTTATTGAATTACCATTGAGAATATCACACACAACAGCCTTAAACTTAAGAAACATGCCTCGAAATAATTACAGTATACACGGATGACAATTACTGGTTCATTGTCCGCGCAGAACTGACTGTTTGGCTTGCCCAAATGCGGTTATGGTCTTTTGCGTTCGTAGAGCGTCCAGTCCGCTGCAGGGTGTGAGAGTTGAAAGTTCTTGCAGGTAATAGCATTGCTTGTCGGTGACTCAAGCCCGCGCAGTTAAGGCAGCAGCCTCCGGCGAACAGCCATAACTGCTAAGTTGAAACCGCCCCGACGACTCACACAAAGAGCCGTAAACTAATAGTGATCCCCATGGGGTTGTTTAAAGTTCGCGGGGCACGCGCGCGCACACTACGATTTAGTTGTCGCCAGCGCGAGTTGTTCTGTCCGACGTGATCAGCATTATTAATGATTTATCTGTGTACGAGTATTATATGACTAATGAAAGCTCACATTTAGTAATTACGGGTCAATTTTAGGGGTAGTCAAATTAAGAGAATTAAAAAACGTAAAGAAACATGAGCAAAATCATAAAAATGTCAATTATTAATATATTAATAAAAAATAAGTTAAATTTTATAATTTCATCCTTAGATGGACCAAAAAAGTTGATGGTTCTTTGTAAAAATATAGTTGTCTTCAACAGTGACAGTGACAATTATTTTTATTTCAATAATTACACTGTTTTCCTCCAAAAAATAAAACATTAAATTTATTACTTTTTATCAGTTTCTATCGAAACATATATTTTTGCGGCATTTGCGCATTAAGCATTCATTGATTCGTATTTTATTTGCTTTCGCCGATAAAATATAAAACATGACACATTACATTGTTCATATATTTGTACTTTGAATCAAGAATTACACGAATACACGAGACGAGAGGATTGGAAAACGTATTCATCTGGGAATACTCGTGGGGCGAAATAAATTCGCGACTAAACTGTAGACAACGCCGCGTGTAACATTTACCTACGTACATATTCGCTCGACAGCCACACAGCCTGAAACAACAAAACACTTAGTTAGCACATCGAAAATGTGGCGGCAAAAATCTTCATGAATAAATAAAATACACCAGAAATAAAATATTCAAACAATACATCACCTAGTGTTTAATATTTTATTTCGAAACTATAAATAGAGTTACAAGTTAAATCAAATACTGATTTTTTAAATCATTTTATATCGTACTACTGTTATAAAAATAAACAATCACATTTTAGATACCGTAATTATACGGCGAGTTGGTTGCATATAGTATTCAAAATCAATAGATAATAATGAAACTTCATGACACCAAAATAATAGCCCACTTTCGATAAATTAATTACCAATCACGCATGACGTGATGCATTCTGGGTCCAATAACTTCATGCTTATATATTGGTGCGATGCACCGCACGTGACATACACATACTTGTTGGCTATCAATTGTATAACGCCAACGCCACTGAAGCCGACACCAATCTACCACCTACACTCGCTCGCAGGTAGATTGTTTCATGCGTGTAGTTTACATACATTATATCGACAAAAGTTCAATAAGCAATGGTGGCAATTTCACCCGATAGTTATGCAATAATCAAAATAAACAAGTAGTAATTATTTTATTTCAATTTTAGTTTTGGTGACACAAATGGATCATTTCGAAATAATTTCAACCAAAGTAATTACTACTTTTACTCTAAAATGGTGATAAATATTGTTTAGCTAAGATATTAAGATTTAATATGAGCGTAATATTGGATTAAGTTGTAAATAACTAAATGTACTAGTGGTAAGCATGGATTTATGCCACTAGAACATGTTCTACATAATTTGCAGACACGGTGCAGTAGTTTCACTTGAAGCCAGCCCACTAAGGTTATCCACCCTCAAGAGTAATATAATATTGACGCAAATTAAGCTGTCAGCCAATTTTGTAAATTCGATTAATAATATAATAAAATAAGATAATTTCTTTAAGTGATTATCATTCAATTAGGGGAAGGGGGGGGGCAAAATGGGCCCCTGGGGGCAAAGTGGGCCCCCTGAAATTCAGAAGGCTTAAAAAATTGAGGGGCAAAGTGGGCCCCCTAAAATTTTTGATATATAAGATGAAGTTGCAAAAACAACTTATCCACAACAAATTCGAAGTTAGAAATAAAAAAAGAAAATAATATAAGCAAAAAATTGATACAAAGGTAAGAGCCTAATTTTTATGAGTGGGGGCCCACTTTGCCCCATATTCTGATTTTTTTTTTTAATTTGATAGACACGGCTTATTAATATTGAATACTGAACAAGGATGTAAAAAATAGTGTAACGAGTGAAAAAAGGTAAACAAATTCCCTTTTTTCGCTTTTGGGGCCCACTTTGCCCCACCTTCCCCTACATACTGTAATTAATTTGATTGCTGTTTAATTAACCAAATGAGTTTTATTGAGTTACATGTGTTATGAATTATTTATCACAACTAGATATTAGTACAAAATTTCATTTTTAATTTAATTTGTTTTATTAAAATATTTGGTTTAAATAAGCGGAAAGATGGATTTTAATACTTCCTTTTTAGTCGCATCTACCACATTTCCGACGATGGCAAATATCAAGACAATTTAAAGTCAGTTCTAAGAAGTAAATAAAATGAAGAGAATAATGCGTTTGATGTTGAGCGCGGAAAATTATTATTGCTAGAGCTTTGACTAGAAAATTTTCTTCACATTTTCTCCAGTTGCAGTTAGGTACCTTTAAATTACATAAAGATTGCGCAGTGAACGTGCACGCTAATTAAAGACAAAATTTATGTGGGTTGTTTGGCTCTGCATGCAGAATTCGAATTACAGAAAATGCGATTCTAATGTATTATATTGCGAATAATGAATTATATAATTTAAAACATTGCCAGCTAAATATAAACTTATCTCAGTGTGTAAAAATAATTGCTTGTGTTTTGAACATGTACAAATGGATTTTTGTAAAAATATTTTTCAATTTTCAGTTTCATAAAAGGAAAAAATGTAAAAGTAGCGAATTGCATTGCCCGCATTTCCCATCTCAAGTATTGGCACTGCTTGCCCAACGATAGGAAAGCCTTGCTGTGAGGTGTTATATTGTGTCGACGGAAAGACGTGCAAATGCTGAGCAGGTTAGAGGCGAGAAGCATTTTCACTTCACTTTTTCCGCATTGAAAAGCCGTGGTTTGTGCGCATTTCGAAGCGGGAGATCGACGAGCGCGCGCGCGCCCTAAGCCCCAACGCGTCACCCCAACGAAGACGACACAGAGCCGAACACGTAGAGTACATAGCATTGGAAAATCGAATCAGCTTGCTCTCGTCCTCGATATTTCCCTTCGCCATCCGATCGCTGCTGCAAATCAAACAATTGCACTCGTACATATATATTGCTGGTTTCCAGTTGCCTTTTCCTCCTCGTGCACACGTATACTTTGCATTTTAAATGCGCATGAAGCCGCACGATTTGGTAACCTGTAATTATTATTCGCCCGACTGCGGTGCAGGTACTTTCCGCAACAAGGTGGGCCATTTTGCGGTGAGAATACTAAATGCCGCTCTTTTTGCACTCGGATGAAAAGTGGTTCTTAACTCTGCGCTTCCGAGAGCGCGGCTCAGCGGTCCGCTGAAAAAGTAAACAGATTGTGATCTAAACAACAATGAGAGCGGTCCCTTTGGGAAATTATAGTTTCATTATTTGTCAGTTCATTATTTTCTATTTTTCTCCACCTCGAAAAAGCAGGGCAGCTTCAGCGCCAGCCGACTTTCATTTCTTGCGCGCTGCGCGAAGAACGCGTTCAAATGTGGACAGCTTATATTTTAAGAGAAAAGAAAAAAGAGACGATACTTTTTATGAGATGTACCTAGCGCGGCGGAAAACGCCGAGAATGGTGGGAAACATCCTTGGAGAGTCGCGAGCATCACGATCTCATAAAAAAATCAACCCTGGACGGCAAAATGCACGAGCGCACCGCGCGAACATTAAAGCTGTATTAAATTTATAGAAGAAGTTGAGACAAAATTTGACGAAAATATCTCAACTTTATAATGTGCTTCAACCAGTATCGTAAAGTTTAATTAATTCTTTTAAATTTATTCGTATTTCTTTGGTTGTGATGAGCGTGTCGCTGCTTTTGTTAAATTAAATTTTATTCGCATGCACAATTTCATTCGGCGCTCGAAATTTTCGGAGAGGTGATATTAGTGCGAAAATAATTTCGAGCGCGAATGAAAATAAAGTAAAATGCAATGTGGGACAAAATGCTGACGCTGGCGTTTTGAAACTATGCGCCAACATCGTCGCCATCGCGTAATCTGCAAAAAGTGTGCGATGTTGCAGCCGGCGCTCGGCGAATGCTCGACTAATGTAAAGTAATGTCGATTGCCGGAAGGCATCGCCAGGCGAATTTGATTACGCAATAAGCCTAGCGCGCCCACGAAGTCTCTTCTTTTTGATGGTAAACCAACAGCTGAATTATTGGCAGTTCCATCCAGCCAAAGCCCACGGAATTTAGAAGATTAGATGCGGACTCACCTCTTCGATGCTTAGTAAATCCGCGTGTTTTACATGTTTCAATACTTTCGAACTGGCCATGGAAATTAATTATAAATTAACTTTTTTAGACCATCAGATTAAAAACAATAATTAAAAATGTTCTCCTTTTACTTTTGATTCTACATCTTTTGATTAATGGTCATCTACAAATACGCTTATTACATATTTGTTTGCTACAATGAATTTAAACGTTCAACAAGCAAATTACTGTTAAATAATAAAGACGAGTAATAATAAAGGTTGGCTTGCAGTCACAATGCAATTTCCAGAGATCATACGGTCTTTACCCACGCGGTTAACAAGGGTCGCTGTCATTTTAAAGTGTCAACGAGGTAATGCGTTAAAGAGATAGAAAGCGACATTGGAAAACATCAAAAGATTGTGAAGCAACAAGCTACAACAACACCTATTTAGGCGTTCGTGCTTATAATTAAAATATATTTTTCCAACTTATAAAAATGATAAAATGAAAATTTAATAACGTGGTTTAAAATTTCCACAAACTTATTTATTTTTCATACTTTTCTGCTTTTAATTTAACAAAGTTTACTAATAAAAAGCCATGATTTCATTGAAAAATATTCGTAAATATTTAATTAAAATGTCAACTAATAATTTTTTCTCTTCCGTTCGTTTGATGTTATTAGGAAACTGCAAGTGGAAAAGTTAGTAGCAAAAAATAAGCTTTGCACATCAATGTCTTTACTCAACTCAGGATGTACTCTCGCAGGCGTACGTACCAGTATAATGCAACCTGTAAACACAATTCAACCAGTCGTCGAGAGGTTGGTTTTCTCTCGGCCAAAGTACACACACCATTTTTCATTTCTTATGCCATCTTCTTTTTCGACTCCCTCGTTTTCAATACTTGTCGACTGCAATCAGACTTTCCTTTTTTCTCTTCCTTTGCTGATCTATTGACATTGCTGGCGTTTTGATGGAAACGACAAGAAATCACTAATGCGAATATAAAATAAAAACCGTATCAGTTTTAAATCTAGCGCCGATCACATTATTGCCTTTTGGAATAAATTTTCGGTCAGCAGCGATGGCGGAAGAAAAGTTCTTTTTCTTTGCAACGAGAGAATATTTAATGAAAAGAATGAAAGGACGGTTATCAATTTTCATTATGTAAATACACTGAAAGCGAAATCCATTCTTTGCGCTGTAATTTTTCATTGCAAACAGGATATTTCACTTTTTGTTTGCCGCGCATGAATTTCAATTTTTCACGTAAAACTAATATTCCGCTTGTGAATCGCATCCATTGTTAATGAAAATGAGTACAATCAATGCTAGTAGTCAATTTTATGTTTCATACAAGATTTTTATTGGAATGGAAGTATTTTAGATCTTCAACTTTGGTTGAACGTTACGTCGATATTTAACTCCTTTTCCGTCCATTCTAACTGAAACTATTCGTTTGTCTTTCAATATTTGTTTTGTGCAGTTC